GGTTCCTTCTCCCGGGCCGGCTTCCCATGCACTGGGCCGGTGTGATGGTTTCCCAGAACATTTCCGGTGCATGGAAAAGTTCAGAAAGTCATATTTTGGACAAGTACCTGTCACCCCTATTTAATCCTTAACAATTCAGGTGGGAGTGATGGGGCGTCTCCATTCCCTTCTGGGGAGCAAGCCGCCCAGCAGAGCTGGAGAGAGGGCTCTGGAAGGGGGCACATGGTCACGGGCACTGCCAATGCCGAGGTCTGTATGTCTCCAGTGCTACGGGGAGGGTGTCCGGCAGTACCTGGAATAGGCCCGGCACGCGGCAAGGGCTCAGGATGGGGGCTCCTGATTTCATCGCATCCCACCTCGAAGCCCACCAGGCAGGCCGTCTGCAAATGCGGATGGGAGAAGCCCCGACTGGGCCCGAGGCCACTCAGCTGGAGGGGGATCAGCATGGCCCAGGACTCCTTGGGAGCAGAGAGAGGAGGGTCACCGATAAGTCCCCATCTCCCAGGGCTGTCCCTTCCTGAGGGTGCAGGGAGGAGGGTCATCTCCAGGCTGTGCCTTCCAAGTGGTGCTGAGGGCAAACCTCCCTGGGGCACAGGGACTGTGGAGGAAGTCACCCTGTTTTCCCTGAAGCAGGCTTTGGAGAATTTGAGGCTGAGCAAGGGCCTCTCTAGGGATGAGGGACCCTGGGCTTGCCTTGATGACCTCGCCTCCCTGTAGCAGCTGTGTCACCTGCCTGCATCCCCCCTACAGTGGCAGAGAGTTAGGGCAGACCCATAAAGCTGGGGGCCCACACAGGGCAGGCCAGATGTCTGGACTGAGAGTCCCCAAATTCTGGGCATTGGAGGTTTTAGAAGTTTGAATCGTTCAGGTCTTAAGGAGAATATCATTTATTACCTAGCACACCCAGGGGAGCCCTCCCATAAGCAAACACGATAATGTTTCTGCATCAAAGCAAATATACAAACTAGAGGCCGGCAGGTGACGTAGTGGTTAAGGTGCTGGACCCCTACATAGTTGATCATGGTTTGAGTCCTGGACCCGGTGGCTTGAAACTTACTCCGGGCTCGTGTGTGTGTGTGCCCAAAATCCCAAGAGGAGAAGGGATTATGGTGTGGCTATCCCTGGGGAGTGATTTCTTGCTTTCTGTTTCTCTGTCTCTGAGGAGCGCATGTACCCTATAGCAAAAATCTCTTCAAAAATATGCAAAATAAGTGAAAAAAAAAGCTATCAATGAATAGCTTTTCATCAGTTCGGGTCATGCTAAGACTCTTGGACTTTATCCACAAAGCAATAGGGAGCCATGGAAGGCGTTAGAGCAAGAAAGTGGCAGGGTTGAGTCGATACCTTAGAAGAGCGGAGCCCAAACAGGAGCGTGCATCAGAATCTGGCTGCCGTGAGACCAGGTGCCTCCCAGCACAGAGCTTACGGAACAGCAGGGCCCAGAACGGTGCCTGACTGTCCAGGACCTCACAGCCGTCAACAGTGGAGCTGGCACTTACTTTCCAAGTGAGCTTGAGGCCAAACTATGAAAACTGTTTGGTTCCAAGTTTTGGAAGTGTGGACAGGGCATTAGGAGCCAGGATGAAGGGCTCTCATGCTGGGCTCAGTGACGGGGAGTGGGAATAGGGGCTTCGGGGTTCAGATTCTGGGTCCACTACCTTACGGTTGTTTCACCTCAACCAAGAGACCGTGCCTTGCCGAGCCTGTTTCCCCGCCTGTGAGTTGGGATCGGTGCTGGCTCTTTGGTGGGATGGAGGGAGGAAGCACTGAGTTGAAGGATGCTGGGCACCGGCCTGTTTTCCTCTGAGGCTGCCGGGCCGAGCCCCAGAATTCCCCAGCCCCACCCCCAGCCCACACCCCGACGTGCCCAGGCTCGGGCTCTGGAGCGAGGAGTCCTCCCAGCTGCGTTGCCCAGGTACTGCAGAGGCTCGCTGGTGCCTCTCCATGGTGATGGCACCCAAGCTGGATGGGGGCGAGGGAGCAGCCTCTGCACCTGATCCCTGCGGTGCCATCCCCGTCCCGGGGACGCTGCAGGGAACAGCTGCTCACTCAGACCGCCACCCAAGCGTAGCTGCAGCACTGCCAGGTCTGGGTGCACACGCCCGCCGGGGTCTGGCTGGTGGGCGTTGAAGCTTCCCGTGCCCGTCATGGGTGGGTAACTCGCAGCGAGACGGGCAATGCGTAAGGGTTGAAGGCCTACTGTGCGTTGCCCTCAGTCCTCTCCCCCCACGGCCTGGTGCAGAAGGGGTGTCAAGTACTCAGGCCTCCGGGCCCATTTGACGCTGGTTCTGGTCCCAGCCTGGCTGGCTCTCTGCTGTGGGCCTGCCTGACCCTCAGGCTCCTCGTCTGTAAACAGGGACATTGACACTGTCGGGCAGATCAGGGACTCCCTGCGAGCAGGTCGGGCTGCCATGTGCACTGCGGATGAGCACCGCGTTACACGTGGGAAGGCAAGTCCCAGGACAGGCAGACCTGCTTGGAAGTCCCAGGACAGGCAGACCTGCTTGTCTGCCTCCAAACTACTCTTCCTGCCTCAGCCTTTCAAGGCCAGAGTCCGACTGACTCTCAGAAACACTTCTTTCGAAGTTCAGCGTGCGCTGAGCACCACAGCGGGCTGGAGACTGGGAGGTCGGAGGTTCCCGTGGCAGAGGTGTGGGTTCCGGTCCCAGTACGGCCGATGACCGGCTGTGCGGTCTTGGGCAGGTTGCCTGATCCTGGCCTCGGTTTCCTTCAGTAAAAGAGCTGGCCATGCTCGTGGCTCAGCGGGACCAGGCAGACACGCTGACCTCTGCCTCACGCACCCACATCTGGTCGTCGGGAAGTCCAGCCGGCTCTACCTCAGACCTTCCCCAGATCCGACGCCCTCTCTCTCCGCCCGTCTACCCCTGCTCAGGGCCACCGTGTCTCCCGGGGCCTCTCACAGGACCTGCTTCTCTGTCCTGCCTGCCTCCACACGGGTTCTGCGAAGCTCGTTTTCCGTGCTCTGCGGCGGCTCCCCGTCCCCTCCACAGAGCAGGCCGTGCCGCCCAGTGTCCCCACCTCAGACATGGCCGCCCTAACGCCCTTAGGTCTCCATTCTTCCTTTCCCTCTGCTCACTCCAGTTACCCCACCCGGTCTGTGCCACCGAAAGTCCCCACATGCACCTGGACCCACTGGGAGCTCCGGGCCACGCTCAGGTCCTGCTCAGTCTTGCTCTGAGCCTCTCCCCTGCCTCGGCCAGCGCCCCCTCCCTTCCCGCCCAGCGCCCAGCCCTTCTGCTTCCCACCTGGCTCAGCCCCTCTAGGCCTCCACGCAGAACGCAGCCCAGCACGGAGCCACGTCCAGCGGCCGAGTCGCTCTCCTCTCCTCTCATCCTCAGCCCGCGTCTCTCCCATGACCTTGACACCGCACGGCACAGGCACAGCGACCTGCCGGGCGCCCCTCAGCTCGGGTGTTCCAGGTTGCTCCCTCGTGGTGGGACTTGGCTTTGGCACTTTGGCAGGGACCGTGCAGCAGCGCCTGAACCCTCCGGCCATTACCGCAGGAGGCACACGATGTCCAACCATCCCCACCCACCCCAGCTAGGCTGGAACCTGCCAGTCGTCCACACTGACGGGCACGCTGGCCCTCTGCGGTCAGCGAGCCGCGTGGAGGCCGCCGGAGACCCAGCGCCCGCAAGCATTCTCACCTCAATCTGTCTGCAGTTTTAGGGCGCCAGCTCTGCCGTTCCTTAATGAGCCTGACCTAAAGCTTCTCACATGTGTGGAGGACGCATGAGTTCAGTTTATCACGACCGCTGTCGAGTGATGGCTTCATAAACCGGTATTCCCTCTCGGCAAGGGGCAGCCGTCCCTCCCTCCCTGCAGGTCTCCCGCCTCTTCTTCAGTGGAGCAGGGCGACCTTGCAGACCTCTTCCTTCACGTGTTATGGCCTATCGCTGTCGTTACTCAATGCTCAGCTGTCCCTGGATCAACGCTCGAATTGTCCCCTGCCGGAACAGTGGCCTCTTTACACTGGTCCCTGTGTCCTTGGGACGGCTCTCCCTCACGCTTCCGTCTCTTTCTTTTTTTCACATTCCGGGCTCATCTGCCTCGTTGCCGCTTTGGCCTCAGAACCCCCAGACTGCTTGGCTTCCTCCTATGGGGAATGATACATAGACGCCAAGATCTGGGCAGAGGTGGGCTTGCTGGGCCGGGGTGCCATGGCTCCCAGGCCCTGCAGCAGGCGGAGCGGGACACCTGCATTCACTGTGTTTAGACGCATTCAGATCACCAGCGCCTACTTGCACCTCCAATTCCAGTCCCACACCCGGGCTCTTTCTCCTCTTCCCCTTTCCATATCGTGTTTCTTTCTTTTCTTTTTCAGAGATTTGGGCCTTGAGGCATAAGCACTTGCCCAAGAGAGAGAGAGAGAGAGAGACAATGAGAGGGAAAGTGAGAAATCACCCCCCAGAAGGGATGACCACGCCACAATCCCTTCTCCATTCTCCTTCCAGGATCTTGGGCACGCACACCTATGTGACCAGTGAGAGTTTCAAGCCACCAGTTCCAGGACTTGAACTGCAGTTGGCCACGTGGGAGTCCAGCGATGTAACCACTATGCCGTCTGCTGGCCCCCTATGTCTGTCTTAATGGAAACGTTACTAGATTTGCTCATTTGCTCAGTGCTGCAATAACCACAAGATTGTTTCAGACTGGAGCCAGCAGGCGCTGTGGCAGTTAAGGACGGGACTCCCACATGGCTGGAACCAAGTTCCAGACCCAGCAGCGTGAAAATCACACCGGGCACTTGTGCTTGTGTGCTCAAAGTCCCCGGAGAAGACTGGAGGAGAAGGGATTGCAGCATGGCCACCCTCCCTGAGGGGTAATTTCTCTTTCCTTCTCACCGTCTCTGTCTCTCTCTGTCTCTCTCCCGTGAACACATGTGCCCTGTGGCAAAAACCTAGGGGGAGAAAAGAGCTGCTGGTGAGCAATAGGAGGGGGGGGGTTAGATAAAGCCCCACCTTCTCCCCCTGCTGCTAGCCCGAGAGTCGCAGAATCAAGCTGTCAAGGTTACGTGGGCTCATTCTCCCCCTCAGTACCGCTGACATCGGAGGGCTCTGGTATCTGCGGTGTGATGCAAAGATAATGAGCTTACCCTGACTTCGTTGGCATTTCATTTTAGCTTTATGCCTATTGTTGTTAATTAAGTTTAAGGTCTTTCTAAGAATAACTTTGGCGTGACTTCCGATTTGCGTGTAATAGCCGTACACCTTGGAGGGCCCGTGTGATAACCAAAGCGGGGAGACCAACACCTCGGCCCTCTCCAACACCTGTCGCTCCTCTGTCATGCGCCTTCCAGTGTGTTCTTCCGGTTGCTTGGAAGCACATGCTAAGTTTTCACCAGGTTCTTTACCGTGTTGTACGTTTCACACTCCGTCCTCTGGTCCACACACGCGCTTGTCTCTGTCCGCGAGCTCCCCCTCCCACGCCCCTCCTCTCCAGCTGCTGGGAGCCGCCACAATCTCTCTGAAGTCTCTTAAAATCTCTCTGGCTCTGCCTCCCTTGATGGCCGACAATGTCCTGACCGTCCAGGGTGGGGTGGAAGTGCTGGGGCTTGTGCTCTGGACATCCCGAAGGGCGGGCTGCCCGTGTGGGCCCCTGGCTCTGGGAAGGGTGGTTTCACCCAGACTTGGCATCAAATCACAGCAAGCCTCCAGTGAGAAATCCTTTTCCTGACTCTCCTTCCACTCTCTGCCTCAGGAAGAAAGCGCTACTGTGGGGGCCAGCAGATGGCACAACGGTTACATTGCTGGACGCCCACGTAGTTGACCATGGGTCAAGCCCTGGACACGGTGGCTTAAAAATCTCATGCCAGGCACATGTGCGTGTGTGCCTAGGATCCCGAGAGTAGAATGGGAGAAGGGACTGCGGTGTGCCCATCCCCCCTACAGGGTGACTTCTCGCTTTCTGTTTCTCTCTCTGTCTCTCTGGCAAGCGCATATGCCCTATAGCAAAAAATCTCTCTTAAAAAAGGGGGGTGTGTGCTACTGTGGCATCACCCCTCTTTAACAGGTGCTGATCTGCACAGAGCCCGCAGGAGGAAGCAATATTCAGACAGAAGATGCGACGCTGTTTTGCTTTTCTGTTTGCTCTTGGCACCAGGCTTCCTGCTTCCACGGGATAACCCTGCCGAACTCCAGCTGCGCCCTCGTGCAGGTTACTTAACAGCTCCGTGCCTCAGTTTCCCTGTCTGCATAGTCGTGGTGTAATGGTACCCGTGCCCGAGGCTGCCCCGGGGAAGCAGGAGTTAATGACGATGATGAGCTCAGCAGGGTGCCTGGATCACGGGCAGCGCTTTTTACGTGCGTTTTTATGACAGCCTTCTGTGGATGGGAAATGATTCCGGTTTTCCATTCAGGGTGGTGAGGCCAAACTTCCTTTTCAGATACGCTCCGTTCAGTGAGCCAAGCGAAAACAAAGGTGAGGTTTCAAAGGGCTCCGCAGAGTCCGCAAAGCTCACCGTAGAGCGGAGATGCAGGGCCCTGGCTTTCACTGAACCCACTGAATAACTCGCGCTTTTGCTAGCCACTAGGAACATGCCTTGTAAGCCTTCGGCTTATTTAGATTTTCCTAACAATCACGTGATGTAGGAGTTGGGAAGATCCCTGTTAAACAGCTGAGGGTCCGAGGGGGTGAGGTCAGTGAACTGACCCCCCCCCCATGGTCCAGCCTGGTGGGGACTTGGCCCGTCTGGCTCCAGGGTCTGGGTCTGCTCTCCAGCCACACAGGCCCCTTGTACGGGAGCCCTGAGGCCTGGAGGGGGAGGTAGCCTGGCAGGGGCTCCAGCGGGCTCGAGGAGCACCTGGGCTGTGACGTGGGCACCCAGGCAGGTGCGGTGCAGGCCCTCCTCGTCCTGGCAGTGGCCCTCTGGCCCCGCTGGGGCGTGTGTTCCCCCGTCTCCCCAACAGCAACCATGCTGACCTTCCTCATAGAATGGGCCCTGCTGCTTCATGGAAGACGTGGGCTAGCCTGGGGACCTTGGAGGCCGGGGGAGGCTGGACATCCTGGGTCCCTGCTCCTGGGGTCGGCTTTTATCCTCTGTCTCACTGAGCATCTTCGCAACCCCTCTGTGACTGCAGTGTGACTCCCCCCATTTTACCGGTGAGGGACCTGAGGCCCAGAGAGGAGTGACCTGCCCAAGGTGACAGAGCTGGGAAGACGCAGGGCTGAAGTCAAGCACAGGTGCTGTACCCGTCCCTCCTAACAGCCTCCCTGCCCTTCAAGGTGTCCTCTCCTCTCCCTCAGCCTGCCGCGACGCGCTGAGGGGCCCCCAACTCCAGAGGGCTCTGATGAGCTGCCACAACTTCGCGATTCCATCCCTCCTGCGCAGGCGCTGGTTCAGGGTGGTCATGGGACCCGAGGTCATCCAATCAGCATAACTGTCTGGTGGACCCTTGAATGGAGAGTGGGGCCTGTCACCTGCTGGACAGGCCCCAGGAGCCAAGTGCTGTCAGGGCAGCTCGGGGAAGGCTTACTTGGGGACGTGGAGAGGACGTGGCCCCTGGAGGCCTCCTGGGCTGTGGGAGGCCTGGCAGCTCTCAGCAGTCAGCCCACCTGCACCCAGGAAGAAGCGCCAGTTTAGGCGGGGTGGAGGTGTGGCTTGGCTTCCTGACTGGCAGCGGGGGCCCTGCGGTCCCCTGGTACTTCTGGGTCCCAGAGCCGAGCCTCTTCTCCATGCGCCCACACCCCCGAAGGCTAACACGCTGGCACGTTTCCCTCTACGTGAGCCCCAGTGTCAGATTCTAAGGGACTGCTGCACGGCAGCTTTGCGCGAGGAGAGGACCCCTCCGTGCTTGTCTCCCTGCAGCCCCCATTTTCAATAAAACAGTAAACAGAAGAGCATTTTGCAAACTGTGAGGTGCTCTTCTCCCTCCCCCCTTTCTCCTTCCCTCCCTCCCTCCTCCCTCCCTTCCCTCCTTCCACAGGTACTAGGAAGCGAAGACCAGCTGGGTGCGGAGCAGACTCTGGGTAAGGAGGTGAGTGGGTCACCTGGCCGGCTGTCCTGGAACTCGGAGTCCAGCTGGGTGGCAGACTACACAGCTAATTAGGACCTGCAGGAACCGCCCTGACGGCCGAGTAGGCAGAGCTGATGATGGGATGGCCTCCCCACTGCAGGCGGTGAAGCTGGAGCCACACCTCGAGGACCGTGCAGGGCCTCTCTGGGTGAAGACCAGGAAGGTGCCCCCAGCAGAGGGCTCGGGGCTCGGAGGTGTGTGGGCCTGAGGGAGGGCGCGCCGCTTACTTGTCTGGGAAGATGGGCAGGGCAGAGTGGCCACGGGCAGGCTGCCATCTACCACAGGGTCTGCAGGTGAGGCATGAAGCTGGAGAGGTCTGTAGAAATCAGGGACGGAGGACCTGGAAGGCCAAGCCAGGACTGGGGCAGGATCCTGGACCACTGGGGAGCCACCGGGAGTCCAGAGGAAAGGATGCCATGGCCAGGTTGCATTCAGGGAGGTCACACTGGGCACCCAGCTTGGCGGAGCAGGTCTGGGGTCGCATCTGAGGACGTGCACGACTCTGGGCCTACAGGCTCCCTCCCCCAGGGCCCTGCCCCATCCAGAGCCATCGGCTCCACTAACTCCTCCCTGAGCTGTCTCTGAGCCTGGCTCCCTGCCTGACATGCTAAGCACAGGCTGGGTCTCTGGGTCACCCCGGCCCCGACTCCTAACCCAGCTCAGCCATTTTCTGGCTGTGTGGTCTCAGACCAATCACTTTCCCTTCAAAGCCTCAGTTTCTTCCTCTGTTCCACGGGCAGAGTCCCACTGCTTCAAGGCCCATGACGACGCTC